TAAAGGATTGGCCCAGCGTGATTTGTGGGCAAGGTCCAGAGGGTAAATTGACCAGGGATCTGTGGCTGGTTTCTTGGAACCGGACAGAACTTGTTCTGGGTAGGTGGGATTGGGTGCTAGGACCCCCCCACCTGTGTATGAGGCCCGGGGCCACCTGGGGCACGGATATTGCTGGGGTGTCAGAGGGGTTTTGCTCGGGAGGCTTCAGGCAGGTTGCTGAAGCGCTCTGTGGGACTGGTTTGTGGCCTGTTTGGAGAGGTCACCAGTCTGGGGGCTGTAAGGAGCCCCGGATTTGAGCAATTCGCCCTGAGCGGATGCCCTCAGCTGTGCCCAGATATGGCCCGGTCCGTCACACAGGCCAACCTGCTGATTCAGCACTAGTGGGGAGACTTGGGTTTGAGCTCACATGCCAGGGGCTCACTGTGTCTGAAAACTCCAGTTTCCTCCCACACTTGAGCATCGTCTCCTAAAATACAGACACGGATCAAACTCAGCCTTCTTCTTCCTATCAATGGGTGTGAAGAAGATAAACCATACGCATCACATTGCTTCAGCTTGCTGCATGCCAGCAGAGTCACCAGCGGAGACTGTGCTGGCTCCTGAAGCTTCTGAAACCTGCAATTTGTCCACATCTTTCTTAAAGCTGATAAGCGGGACTGCAACCGGGACCTCTGGAGCTTAGTGCATGAGCCTCTAGTGCATGAGCTAAAAGCCAGCTGGCTCCCAGCTAAAGCTGTAGAGCAGACTCATTATTCTCTGTTGGTGGCCCCGTGTTGCTAGACAGGAGCGTCACCACACCCAGTGGGTGTGGGGTTATACATGCTGCCCCAAACTGGGCACAGTAAGCCAGATGATCCCTGACTGATGCTGAATAGAGCAGAACAATTAGACTCTTGTTAATGCACACCAAAATATTTGCCTTTTTCACAACTGCATCCCATTGTTGCCTCATCAACCTTCCCTCCCCTCACACACTTCATGAGTTCTCAGTGGTTCACTAATGGTTCAGAGATTGCTTTGACTCGTGCCTTAGAGCACTGGCCCTGCCGACTCAAGTACATCTACCTTATTTAACTATCGTGTACCTTGGTCTTCCCCGCTATTCGCTGGCATTCCGCCCCCTTGTTGATCTTATTTGGGTTAAGTATCTGGTCCCAATTACGCTTTTAAGTGAAGACTGAAGCAAAAAAGGCATTAAACCCGGCAACCTTCTCTGCCCCAGCCATTATTTGCTCTCCTGGTCCATTAAGGAATGGAGAAACATTTTTTCTTCATGCACGAGAATCCTGTGAGCGTAAGTACTGAGAACAGCCATTCCCCAGCAGCCACAAAACTCTTCCTGCAGTGCTCACAAACAGCTGGCTTGAAGGCAATGAATGATCTCACCACTTTCTCTTTGGCACGTCACCTTTTTGTGGAAACATTGAGGTGTGCGACACTTGGAGAGTAATTAGCACAATTTGCGCTCCCAGATCTTTGGGAAAACAAACCACAATGCAGACTCCAGTCGTAACTAGGTGCTCAGCACCCTTCCAACTGTGGACCTTTGATCCTTTGTGTTGTATGTTGTTGGGGTGGAGGAGAACAGGCCCGTATCCAGGGAGGTACTCAGGGTGCCGAAAGTACCCCCCCTGGTCCCCCAAGTAAGCATGCTCTGTCCGGCCAGGGGAAGGCAGGAGCAGTGCACTGCCT